AATCATCAATAAACAAAAACCTAATGTTAAGTTCTTTCATGTTTTCGGTTCCAGGTGTTTCATTTTCAATTCCGAAGAACATCAAAACAAGTTTGATGAGAAGGACGACAAAGGCATTTTTCTGGGATATTTGCTGACATCAAAAGCATATAGGGTTCTCAACAAACGATCCAAAAGGATTGAAGAAACCTATTATGTCACATTTGATGATAATTACTTAAAGAAAACTCAAGAGAATGATTGTCAAGCAAAAGAGATCTTTCCTCAAACGAACCAAGTGACCATTCCATTGGCCAATCTTTATGAAGAATTCATTCTTTTATTTGATGAACCCGAGAATGCTATCTCTTCTAAATCGAAAGCAGCTGACAACAAGGTCGATGAATTGAAGAAGATAATTGATGATGCTATGAACGAAATGGACCATCAACCATCAACTACGAACGTGCCTCTAGACTAAAGCACTCCAGTCCAGAGGGAGACTTCTAACTCTAATACAACTCCTCAGGAGGAACCTTTTGCACCACATAAATCAAATGATCCTCTCTAGGGGGAGGATACGCCTTCAAACATTGCACACGAACATCCAGGAGAGGAGGAAGAAGAGCATCCAATATTTGAAATTCACTCATCATTCAAGGGGGAGTATACATAAGCGGACGATGATACAGATGTTCAATCAGAATTTGAAGAAGTGAATGCTAAATTGGATCCATCTTATGATCCGAACTATCCTCCACTAACAAAATGGACCTAAGATCATCCAAAAGCACAAGTAACAGGTGAAATGTCTGCACGAGTTCTTACACGATCTCAATTGAAAGCGAAACAGACTGCTTTATTCTCTCAAGTGGAATACAACATGTTTAATTCGTTTGTCTCCAAGATAGAAACTACAACTGTCAATACTGCTCTTGATCACTCTGATTAGGTACAGGCAATGCAAGACGAACTTAATGAGTTTGAAAGAAATAAAGTTTGGTGATTGATTCCCACTCCACCAAATGTATCTATGGTTGGTCTGAAATGGGTGTATCGCAATAAATTGGACAATGAAGGCAATTTTATAAGAAACAAAGTGAGGCTCGTGGTTAAGGGATATTGCTAGGAAGAGGGTATCGACTAAGAAGAAACCTTCACACACCTGTTGCAAGGTTGGAATTAGTTCACATATTCCTGGCATATGCAGCACATAAAATTTTCAAAGTGTTCCAAATGGATGTTATATGTGCTTTCCTAAATGGAAAATTAGAAGAGACTGTATATGTGGAACAACCACCTGAATTCATGAATGAAAAGTATCCCGATCACTGCTATATTTTAGACTAGTAAGTCTATGGTCTGAAGAAAGCTCCGAGAGCCTGGTATGAAACTCTTACTCGTTTCCTCAAAATGTATAAATTTAAACAAGGTTCATTGACCCAACCTTCTTTCTCAAGAAAGAGGGTGACCCCTTAATGCTTGTCCAAATTTATGTTGATGACATTATCTTCAGTTCTACTAATCCCAACTTAACTGCTGAATTCTGAAAGTTGATGTAAACTAAATTTAAGATGAGCTCTATGGGTCCAATTAACTTTTTCCTTGGATTGAATATAAGACAGGGACCTGAAGGCCTTTTCATAAATCAGGAAGCATACATGAAGGCTTTATTTACCAAGTTTGGAATGATGGGTGACTCCAAAGTGAAGGATCCAATGGCATTCGGAACGAAGCTCACACCTTGTATTTAAAAACCAGCTGCTGATATGACTATTTACCATCAAATGATAGGGTCCTTAATTTATCTAACAACTAGTAGACCAGATATTATTTTTTCATTAGGTACTGTGCCAGGTTCTAAGCTAATCCACATGAACCTCATATGATGACAGTAAAGAATATTTTCAGATATCTTAAACGAACCTCATCACTTGGTATATGATATGCTGCGAAGTCGGGTTTCTTCGTTCAAGCGTTTTCATATGCTGATCTTGGTGGGTGCGGATTAGATAGAAAAAACACAACTGGAGGATCCAATTTCACGATGGCAGACTTGTCAAATGGCAATCCAAGAAACAAACATGTGTCTCATTGTCAATAGCCGAAGTCGAGTACATTGCTGCCGCATCTTGTACTTCACAGGTCATATGGATTCAAAGTCAATTACGAGACTATGGCCTGAACATGAAGCGCATCTTGCTCTATTGTGATTTCGAAAGTGCAATTCGCATCTGTCACAACCCAGTGCAACATTCAAAGACTAAACACATAGCGTTGTGTTACCATTTCATCAAGGATCATGTAGAAGACGACAACATTGAGATTCATTTCGTTCGATCAGCAGACCAATTGGCTTACATATTCACGAAAGCCTTGCCGGAAGCATCATTTAATAGAACACTATAAGGCCTAGGAATGATGGATGCTGAATCAGTTCCAAAACCACTCTTGCCCCCGAAGTAGCCCGTTCGCTTTGGGGTTACCTGTTCGCTTTCGGTTTTATTTTTTTGACAAGTGAAATAGAATGAACACTCGCTCTATTTCGTTTCTGATTTTTCCAGGACACGAATTAAGACGAACGTTCGCCCTATCTTGTGCCTGAACTTTTTTTTAAAAAGCGAACATTCATGGTCTAATCTTTGTATATTAAAATTTTCAAAAATATTTACTTTGGTTCTGTTTTCTCTTTCTCATTTAAAATCCAAATATATATATATATATATATATATATATATATATATATATATATATATATATATATATATATATATATATATATTTGTTTCTATCTTTTTTCAGAAATTATCAAAGTATCAAAATATTGTTTTTCCTGATTTCATATCTTCGTTTCTTTTAGTCATGTTGCAGGTTTAGCTGCTAAAAAAATGAATGATGGGGAGGTATTATTTCCATATCTTTGTACTAGCTAAGTGTCCCTAGGAGCATGCTGCTGCATGTTGTCTGAAGCCTCAATCGACTCTATGTAAAGCCTTAATGAATCGAATCTATCATTCGTTTCTTCCCAATTTGGCTGCTAAATTCACATTATCCATGAGCTACCTTACTCTTCTCACATCGAGTTAAGAGTTATCTTCTTGGTCATCTAAAGTTGAGCAGAGGTAATTTCGGTTCTTTAACCACCTTCGTTCTTCTCCATTAGCCTTCACATTCATAAATGTAACCCTTGAGACTCTCAGCAATACCACTAAGGTTTATGGTTATGAAATATCTGTGTTCATGATCTTAACTTCGTTCACTACGAACCGAGTGGAACCCAAAATCCAACACACTTACATGGATTGACAATGAACAATTAGAAGTTCTAGATTTTCATGATGGAATTAATGAAAATCCACCTTTTTGGATTGTACCATGAAATATCTTTTTATTTTTGCGAGATCTTTGTGAAGTGTTCTATTACCAAGTCACTCCTTCCCAAAAGATCCGGTTTTATTTTTGTTTGAGATTTCAAAGTTTTATCTCATCACCAAACTAATTCCAAGCCTACTCGTTCAACTGACTACACTGGTCATACGGGTACTTCATCCTACATTCATTCTTATTTTAAGTTAGTTGTTTGGTTGGAGAGTTAGCCACCCGTTGAGCCGAATTAAAAGATGCCTTTCATTGTTTCTTAACAAACAATTGATCGTACTTCAATGTGAAACCACACAAACACTTCTTGGTCTCTCTTGACTTAGAAGAAAGATATTCTTGCCTAGGATCCACAATTTCATGTCTTTTTTGACATCACATTAATCCCACTGATATAATTTGCTTTATTTCTTTATCTTTGACACACTCTTGCGCGAAGATCTTTATGATTTTACAAAAGTCTTGTCCGTGTTACTTGTGGTATCTTTCAGTTTCCCAACTTCGCTTTTCAATGGTCTTATGAAGTTTGTTGTCTCAAAATCGAAAGGTGGTTATATATTTGAAAGACCATCAGGAATTTGCAACGATTGGGCATAAGTGTTGCTAACACTACAATTGAAGATAACATTTTTGAAATAAAAGATGTATGGAATTTTACACGTTCCAATTCTCACGCCGCATGATGTCACCTGACACCCTGTCAGCCGCTATAATTTTCATATTCCATTTTTCTAGGCGTCAAATCGGGGATCGTCATGCAATCGTCTCTTGGTTTCTCTCTCATTATAATAGAGCTTTCAATCACCACTTCAACCTTTACCACTTTAAAAAATTTTACGAACCCTAAAAGGCGATTTTGCTCTCAACTGTTCATCTTCTTCTTCGACCTCCAACAATTGTTGACTCTTCCTTAGTTCAAGAACAGTTTGCTCAGTCATCTTTTCTCACTATCAAAAAGAATCAAAACTTGTTTATTGATTTGGCTCTGTTCAAATACGATGCGTTCATGTTACTGATCGTCGAGTGTCTGAAGTGCTCGCCGTTAGTCATTGCTCTTACCAAGGTTGAATGTGTTCCGATGACGCTTCTATCAAAAGCTTATTCTACAACATCCTACATCAGAGAAGAGGAAAAGATTTCCTTTGAGGTCTTTGACAAGAAAACTTCCTTCAGGAAGGCCAGATTTTTCTCTCTTCTAAGGCTTGCTTTTGATGATTCCATGGCCAACCCAGATTCGATCTCCACTGCTTAAATCATTGACATGTTTTATCATATGGGTTACACCGATCTCCCCAATGGAATGGTCTATTTACCCTTCTCTTCAAGGCTTTTTTTTAAGGGTAACTGCTTCAAACTACACGAGTAAGTCCTTTATGACGATCCTCTATGGCCTCTACCATGGGATCAATTTAGACTATGGTTTAGTGTTGTGGGCTCAACTGGTGCAAAGCACAAACTCCACCATGCGACATATCGAGATTTCCATGGGTTGATTTTGGACCATTGTGGTACAGCGTGCTATCGCGAAGCTCAACATTTCAGTCATGAAAGATTCGTTGATGTCTCCGATTGCTATTTTTCACACTACCAAGATCATTATTGCCAATAACTCCAAGTTTCTCTTTGTGGGTTTTCCTAAATCCATGTACAAGTGTGTGTCGGGGGCGAGCAAATTAATTAGGGAATACAAGAAGCATCCAACCTCAGGAGCAAGAGTCATCACTCCAGAGATGCAACAAACTCTTGATGATGCTGATAAAGCCAAGAAATGGGGCAAACCAAAGCATTTGAAAGAGGGTTTGTCTGCCTTAGTTCAGACTCCCAAGAAGTGAAAAACAAAAGGCCATTCTTCAAATCCTACCCCCTTTTCTCCAAACCAAAACGTGTCAAGAAGTCAGCTCGCAAGCTTCACATTCCTTCCTCAATATCTTCTGGGAGCGAATCTGATGATGCTCATCAAAGTGAATCCGAGGATGATATCATCTGAAATGAACAAGAGGTAAACTTCTCTATTCCAACGCCTCCACCATCACCTACTTCCACTTCTGTTCCTATTACAACAACACCTTTCCCACCACCTATTACTACTCAATCACCACCTGTCACTACTAGACAACCCATTTTCACTGAAACCATTACTACCACCACCACAGGAAAACCTTCTGTCAATGTTAACGGATCTTATGTGGGGGCAAAGAATTCAAGTTTTGCAACTACTTATACCACATCTCCCATTTCACCTCAGCCTCAACATAGTTCTGAAGACCCTCTCAGTGCAGATGGATTGGACTTTGATATGTTTCATTATAGTGCGTTCTCCATACAAGAATATAGTGATGATGATGCTCCTCTTACTAAAAGGCATCTTAAATATTTACAATGGAACCTGGATAGTCTTCTGGCATCTTCTACTGTCTCTTCAAGCCAAGCTTACTCTGAAGCATCAGTTAAGAATATGCTAAATACTCTGGTGACAGAGCATGCTGCGAACCTTCAACAAGCAAACAAGGTTGTTGAGAACTCTACTCTTTCCAATCAACAAGCGACCGAAAAAGTTGATAAACTAATCTCAGACATGAAGACTTTTTATCTCAGAGCTTAATATTGCGGATGGTGAAAGAGCATGCCGCGAACCTTCAACAAGCAAACAAGGCTGTTGAGAGCTCCACTCTTTCCAATCAACAAGCGACCGAAAAATCCGATAAACTAATCTCAGACACGAAGACTTTTATCTCAGAGCTTAATACTGCGGCTGAAGCAAATGTTGTCAGGGAGAATGAGGCCATTTCGAAGCTTAACAATTCGCTTAGAACTGAATGAGAGAAACTGGAACAGCTTCGTTCAGGCATCTCTGATGATAACACAACCTTTCACTCTTATGTTTCCTTGCCACTCACCAAGTTCCAAGATGATTTGGCCGTTGAAAGCAAAATCATGGACAAACTTGCTCTTCACACCACTCAACTCCGTGCTCAAACAATCAAGCTCAAGCACGTGAAAAAAGAAATCAATGACCTTAAGTTTGAACAAGCGGTTATGAAATCATGCATAAACGATGTCAATTCCTTACTTTCCAATATTGTTGAAGCACACGATGCCATTTTCACCATCACCATTCGTAGACACTTGGCTGATAAGCTTCGTCCTTCCTTCGCTCTTCTGAACAGGCTTGAAGGTGTTTCTGAGGCCCCTGTTCATCCGAAAAAAGGTGGAGAAGATAAAGTTGCTAAGATAGGGGAAAAACAAAAGAAAACAAACCAAATGTTAATGTAGCTTCGGGTTCCAAAGGAAAGAAACCAATGCGGGGTGATGATGAAGATGAAGAAACTGAAGATCAATTCAAAAAAAAAAGGCTTGTGATCAGTAGTTGAGTGAAAATGCTCGCATTGCGAGAGAAGCTGAAGAGAAAGAGAGAAAAGAAAAAGAAGCTCACGATGCTTTGGATAGCAGGAAAACGCTCTTTCCACTGTGGATGTTGGAGCGTATGATTCATGAGGCTGTCAAACTCCCAAGTGTTCACTGGTTAGAGCCAATTGTTTCGTACGATTTGAAAAACACGAAGAATTCCCAGTTTGACATGCCGATAACACGAAAAGCCTTTGTTTTTCATTGTTTTGAATCCATCGCAACCATCCCCTCTCCTGATACGAAATTAGTTAAAGCCTTAATTGAATTTTATCTCACTCATGCCGAACCACATTATCAAACATGGAGCACACAGAAGATCACAATTGTCATTGTTTCTGGGCCAATTGTTACAACGGGCTTTGTGAATGCGAAGTTTAAGGTCACTCAAGGTTCTGAAAATACTCCACACGAATTCACTTTTGCTGGTCTGCCCAATTTCAATCCTCATGATTGGATTCTGCTGCTGAGCTTTTTGCTTATTAAAGAACAAAAGTAAGAACCCATTTTGGCTCATTTAAAGCGAATGTTAGTTTCATATATCTATGATGTGGCGAAGCTAGATATCGAGATTGCTGGTGTTTTGAAATGAAGGCCCACGGTCAATCCAATTGGAAGAGCAAGTGATATGAACAAAATGCGAATGGGCAAAATTGATTTAGAGCACTACACTGTAATGTTCCAGCGTGGAAAGGATGGTTCTGGATCATTTAAAAATGTCTCTTTGCATTGGTAGAAAAACATTTATTCTCCACGTCTTCCTTGGAACATATTTTGGAGATTGTCCACAAGTGTAAGTCAAATGATGTTGCTGCGATGAAGAACCTTAATGATATGATTCGGTGGTATATTCTCTTCCATAGTACTTTACTCGCTGTGATACCTAAGCTCTTCAAGACAATTAAGAAGACTCAACAGTGAAGCATCTCTCTCCGCATTTGATGCAAAGGAGGAGATTGTTGGGTGTTAGATGTTGCGTCATTGGGCTTATAATAGTCCATTTTGTATTCGGTATTAGGCCTGTCCAGTCATCTCATTAATTAGGTTTTAAGTATTTATAATGCATGCATGCACCGTAGACATTAACGTTTTTTTATCTTTGGAAAACTTTGTGGCGGTTGAGGTTGAGGTGGCCCTACTGTGTGTTACGGTGGTAGGCCAACATACCCGAGCTAATCCAGTCTGATGAATGTGGACCCAATATGCATGCTTGTATATGTTTTATTGTGTGCGGTATTTTGGGGGAACTCACTATGCTTCATGCTTACCTATTTGTTTATACTTTTAGGTTCTATCAATGATCATGGGAAGGAGAAGGTGTGACTGTACACACTCATTTGTAGCATTGACGATTCCGTATTTATTGTATTACTCTGATTTTAAACAAATTTAATTTAGAATAAATAGTTTTCTCAAAATGAATTTATAATTGTGATGTTTTACCTTAATAAAAATGAAATTTTTTTGTTGTGAAAATGGGACGTTACAAGTTGGTATCAGAGCCCTAGTTTGATGTAACAATGTAAATTTTAAACCAAAATTTTCAACTTAAAAACACCTTTGTCTCGATAATAAAATCACCAAATGTCAAAATATCTCGCTTCTGAGAGAGCTGCTCTTCCGACTGCTCGTATTCATCCCTTCCCCAAGAGGGCAATCAGCCCCTTGCTTTCATTTGAATATTGGCCCTCGCACATCACGGCTAGATTTGAGTCACTCATAGCTAGGGCTTTCTATTTCATCAGGACGACTTCTCCTCTACTGAGCTCATCGCCCTTTTCTATCAGCTTTCGCTACCTGTCTGATGAGGTTTTACGGAGGCTCCTTTGACCGACATCAAATCTCATATCCACAAACCGTATATATCAAATCCAGGATCCTTAAAAACAAGTCTTCAGTGCGACTGTGTGTACAATCAAGCCGATGCCTTCCCGCGATCCTGAGAAGTACCTAAAACACATAACACGTAACACAGTAAACATGAAGCTTAGTGAGTTCTCCAAAATACCACACACATCACACTAGCCACTCGTGGCTTACTCAATACGACCCTCTGGTCAATGTGTTCTAGTAGAGACCCTCCTGTCCCACAACTCGGGTGGACCCTCCGACCCAAACTCAGTAAGTTCATTAAAATAAGCATAAACCACACAGATAAAATACAGAGTACCACAATACACAGATAAGCACATAAGACATCTCAGTCACATAAGGATACCACTCATGGTAAGTATAGTGAGAAGACTCACCTCGTAAGCTAGCAAGTAAACGTATCGTACTCGGGAATCTCGAACTAGCCTCCGCCTAACACATAGGATAATTATCTCTAATTAATACTCTACTCATACTAAATACACCAAATATTGTTCTCTCTTTCTCTCCAACTCTTGGAATGGGTAAAAGACCAATTTACCCCTCCATGGTCTCCATTACTCATGCTGACCAAACCCTAAAGTAAAAAGAAGTCAAACTCGATTCAACAGTTTAGGTTTGACCTGAATTGCCAAGTGCAATCATGTGACTCGTTGAGTCCACTCATTCCTCAGAAGTCTCGTGAAGGTCCAGCTCGTCGAATTAACCCTTAACTTGTCGAGCTATGGCATGGCCCACTCATCGGGACAAACCCTAACTGACTCGTCGAGTCGACTCATGGACTCGGCGAGTCCATTCAGATCCATGTCAAGAATAGAAAATTTCAAGCCAGAAAACCCTCTCACACTCTAGATCTAAGCTCTCAAGTCTCACTTATCACGTAAAGCCACGAGCTTTACATTCATGCATGTCACTTAGGGCTTGAAATGCCAAGAACATGTTGTATTAAGGGTTTTCAGTCAAGGATCTATTATGGCTGAATAAAACAGAGGCCTTTGGACTCTAAGGATCTCACAAGGTTCAAATCTGTTGTCCAAATGTTTATATGTGCTTAATATACTCAAAGTCCTAAAATAAGATAGAAAAGAAGCCCTAAACTCCAATAATATGAGATATACCCGAACCAATGAGAAAGGTACAAACTTTATACCTTTTACTGAAGCTCTTGAATGAATAGCAACAAATCTAATAGCCTCCTCTTGTTCCTTACTTGAAATCCTTCTATTCTCTTCCAAAAATGCACCAAGATTCTCAATATAAGCTCACACACTCTCTCTATTAGATCAAAGGGAAATTAGGGTTTCTCTCAGTGAAGGCGAGCAGTTGATGAGCCGTAAATGAGGCTATAAGTACCCTTATATAGGCCCCAAACCCGGGGATTTAGGGTTTCTCTTCACAGCGTCTACTCGGCGAGTTGGCTCTCGGACTCGTCGAGTATATCATTAATCCAAAAGGCACATTGCGACCCTACTCAACGAGTTGTAGCACCAACTCATTGAGTTGCTCAATAATCCTCCAAATAATTAAATAAATAAACAATATACCTGGAAGTCCGGGTGTTACAATTCTCCCTTACTAGAATCAAACTTCGCCCTCGAAGTCGTGCTCTAGAAATAAATTTGGGTACTGCTCTCGCATCTCGGATTCCGACTCCCAAGTTAACTCGGACCCTCTCTGATGTTGCCACTAGACCTGAACCAGGGGCACCTCTTTGTTCCTCATAACCTTGATCTTTCAATCCAAGATCACAATCGGCCTCTCAATATAATTCAGGCTTGCATCCACCTGAATGTCCTCTAATGGCACCACTGTCGTCTCATCGGCTACACACTTCCTCAACTGAGACACGTGGAAGGTGTTATGGATTTGACTCAGCTTTGCAGGTAGCTCCAACCAGTATGCTACCTTACCCATTCTGGCGGTCACTCTGAAAGGGCCAATGTACCGGGGCCCCAACTTGCCCCACTACCTGAATCGTATCACCCTTTTCCAAGGGGATACCTTCAGGAGTACAAAATCTCCAACCTGGAACTCCAGCTCGGATCGTTGCCTGTTAGCATAACTCTTTTGGCGACTCTGGGTCGTCAGTAATCTCCGTCTGACCTGCTGAATCTGCTCAGTCATCTTCAATACTATCTCAGTGCCACCTATCACTCGCTGCCCTACCTCTCCCCAGCAAATGAGAGTCTGACACTTTCTACCATAAAGAAGCTCAAAGGGAGGCATACCAATACTCGAATGATAGCTGTTGTTGTAAGAAAACTCAGCCAAGGGCAAATAAGATTCCTAATTTCCTCCGAAATCCATAACACATGCACACATCATGTCCTCAAGTTTCTAAATCGTCTGCTTGCTCTGCCCATCTGTCTGCGGATGGTATGCGGTACTGAAGTGTAACCGGGTACCCAAATCCTCACGAAATTTCTTCCAGAATCTGGAAGTAAAGCGCATATCTTGGTCTGACAATATCGAGGTCGGCACTCCATGCCGAGCTACCACCTCCCTCATATAAATCTCGGCCAATCTCTCTGTAGAAGAACTCT